ATTTGAACAAACTTGGTAGACACGCATTAGAACATGTTTCATGCTAAATATCTTAGCTCTAGCTCTTTGGGTTCTTTAAAAGAAGATTTTTTAAGTTTTTACTATATGCATATAGGGAAAATCAATGACCCCCTGTGGCGGGGCCAATTTTGACCCCAGGGCTTTTATTGAACAAACTTGGTAGACACTCACTAGAAGATGTTTCATGCCAAATATCTAAGCTCTAGCTCTTATGGTTTTTTAAAAGAAGATATTTAAAGTTTTTTCTTTCGGTTGCCATGGCAACCAGAGTTCTGCATGGAATTAAATTCTTTGAACAATTTTTAAAGATGACCACCAAAGGAATATTCCTGTGAAGTTTGGATGAAATTGGCTTAGTGGTTTATGAGGAGATGTCATTCAAAGTAAAAGTTTACGGACGGCTGACGGACGGACGGACGCCGGACGAAAAGCGATCACAAAAGCTCACCCTGTCACTTTGTGACAGGTGAGCTAAAAAGTACATGTAACTCATTCAAGATTTAAGTAATAACTTACATGTTATGTGTCATTAATGTCTGATTTTGAAATAATTATTTACCCACCATATTTCTACTGCAGTTAAGACTATTTTTGCACATTCTGACCTCACTCTTTTGTTATTTACGTGGATTGTAATTGCCGTTTGCAATATGTGAAATACGTTCTAGGGTGCATGAGCTTGAACGGCAGTCCTTTTGCTGGCACCAACAGCACTTTTCAGGGCTACCATTTCATATTGTCTCAGGTTACTGTACATTTAGGTTCTCATTGACCGCCGTTCAGTGACCTACTTTTGGCTGAAAATTCATCTTTGGCTAAAACTCCGTGAAAATTGCATGGAGGTAAATTACCACCACTTTGTGCTTCAGAATTAACTCTTTAAGGGCATGACTGGTGACTTGTCCGGGGTCTGTACTTGACATTTTGTGCCCTTACGGGCGGATGGACCCTCATTAGGCATAGACTACATACATACACATAATACGTAATACACTTCTTAGCCATATCCCTACTTCGGTCTCTTACATTTTTTTCTTCAGCAATGAATCGAGTAAATAAAGATCACGTAAGGCAATTTCATTTGAAGAATGCGTGAAGATTTGGTAGCTTTATCGCAGAAACATAGCGTTTGATAAATGTTTATAAAAGACTGTCACCCGCTAATTAAAAAGTCTACAGTATACTTCGGCAATATTTCATTTTTTGAAATGTCGACAAGGAAATAGATTTAACCACAAACATCGACTTGTGCTCTTTTGTTAACAAATAGGTTGTGGAGAAATTGTTATTGTTTCCACTTATCTGATAATTAGAATTAGACAGGTCAGGGATCTGTGCATTTTGCAAAAAAGCATAATTTTTTTCAAAAAAAGGAAAAAGACTTATAAATGCATCTTGTATAAAAATTGGCTTTGGTTGTATAGGTTATGTGCAAGTTCTAAAGTACATTGGAAGAAAATAAAGAAATTCCCATTACTCATCACCAGGACAGAAAGTAATGTTGAAATATTGCTGAAACTGTATAAATGCTGTATACGGAAAATTGGAATAAAACTTTAACACACAACTTAGTCTTGATTTCACTCTAGACGCTTTATTTCAAAAAGCAGCCAAATGACTTAATTACATTATATTGTTTGCTTGATATGATATGATTATGATATGATTATGATATGATTATGATATGATTATGATTGGATCCCTACTCTGACCTTTATACAGTTCACAGAACAAGATGCATTTATAAGTCTATTCCTTGTTTTTTTTTATTGTTTGCTTGAGAAATTCATATTATATCATTTTATTCTGATGGACATGAAACAACTTGACAGAATAGGGAGAGTCAAACCTGGAAGAAAAAGGAATACAGATTACATTTTTTGAATATATTTATTAATCAGATATTTGCCATGAAAACCTGTTAGGGCTTAATGTCAGCATCTTTTATTCTAAAGTAATTTCTCAAAGTCAAAGTAACAAAGGTATTTCAAGACTTCATGAATACAAAACTGAAAATATCTACTATTTTATTCATCACACTAATACTTGTTTAACAGTGTAATATAATGAAAATATTGCAGTAAATTTTCATTTATTTTCTTCTTATCTTCTTGACTTAAAAGGCATAGGGAAATGACAAGTTTAAAAATACAATACAATGTATTTATTAAATATTTCTATAGTTTTTAACACAGGAGAAAAAAAAAGTTCCATGGGAAGAAGACAATTACATCTGTTCAAGTTCAATGTATTAACTGACATTGAAAGTTTACAAAGATACCATATTTGATTCACACATTGCCTAAAGTTTTATATGAATTAGGTACCTAGTCAGATTTTCCGTTGATATTTTCACACTCCATCTCTGTATTCACATTTTGAGAGCCTTGCATTACTTTCACGTACATCATGTCATAACATTGATTCATGTGCCTTTATCAACCACCCTTAGCTTAATCAGACACCTCATCAATATAGTCATATTGAAATAAAATGAAGAGTATGGAATATTTTACCTTTTAGTAGTTTTAAAATAGTTATTTAACTAATGAACCTTCGATACAAATAGAATTTTTAGAATTTTTCTAAGCCATGCCTGATAAATATTGTAATATCAGACACTAGCATGCTTTATTTGTGATAAGCTTCAGCTCTCTATTTCTTTAAAAAGAAATGTGAAATGTATAACACTGTGATATTCCTCTTTGTCTATTTGTTCACATTTTCAATTATTTTTATACATGTAGCTCTTACATTTACAGAAAGTGTTTTATTTTCATATTTTTCTTCTTTCAATTGAGATAAGAACTTTCACATTTTATTTTACTAATGTTCACATTTGTTCTACTTTTATCTTTTATGAGGTTTAGGCGAGATAAGAACTTTCAAGTTTTATTTTACTATAATGTTCACATTTGTTCTACTTTTATCTTTTATGAGGTTTAGGTGAGATAAGAACTTTCACAGGTTTACAGAGTTCTATGACATTACTGTCTTCTTCACTACTGGAGGCTGATTTGGTCTTGAACTTTGTTTTGGCAGCAGATGATGAAAGAATCACTAGACCTATTTCAACTGTGCACGATTCTGAAACAAGAAAATGCAAAACAAAAATTCAATTAAAAATGAGATATAAAATAAGGAAATGTTTGTCAGTTAAAATACTGCCTTATATTCAGACACCTTTATCCCCTTTAAAAAATTTGGAGAACAAATTTTCTCTTACTTTTATACAAAGAAAGAAAACATTAAAGCTGCATGCTTGAAATATTTCAAGAAAATCAATCTTGAGAAAACTGTACTAAGATTTTAAGGGAAGTCAAAATATTCACAATTTAAGAAATAATCTACATATTATAAGCGATAAATAATTGTTTTTGCATTATCTGTCACCAGATTTCTACTGCGCTACCTTGACAGTACATTATATTTTTGCATATTCTGACTTTCATAGATTTTAAATGTTGTTTGCACTGTGTAAATTATTATCTTTATTCATTTGACAATATTTTACATTTTCATATATTTTAAAAATGTTCACTAAAATAAGCATGTTTTTGAAGGCAAGAATCATCTGTGTTTGTTTATAATATTAATTTGAAACTTAATTGAAATAAAGTAAAAATCATGGTTTAAGTATTCTTTAGTGTACATAATGGCAATTCACATAAATGGAATGAATACAAAATGTGACAGAACCTTAAAGCATGAAAATAAGCAACATTAGTTCCACATGTAAAGGGACATAAAACAAAGTTCTGATGCAAATGTAAAAACTAGAGAAATGTATACTTCTATGTAAAACTAGAAATGTGTCCATAGGACAAGGATGCCCCCACACGCCACTGTTCTGTCAATCTTATGACTCTAGGTCAAATATTTTTTGGACTACATGTGCCACAAGTTGAAAACTAAAAATCAACAAAGGGCCATAATTCTGTAAAATTTGGTCATAGCAAAAATTCCTTCCTTTAATACCATCTACACATTAAGGTTGTTAATCCCTGGAAGTTTAAGCAAAATCTGCCATCCGGTTTAAGAGGAGTTGCGTTCACAAAATTTCTACAAAGTATATAATGAAAAAATCAAAAAAGGGCCATAATTCTGTTAAATTTGGTTGCAGCAAAAATTCCTTTCTTTACTACCATCTACACATTAATGTTGTTCATCCCTGGAAGTTTAAGCAAAATCTGCCATCCGGTTTAAGAGGAGTTGCATTCACAAAATTTCTACATAGTATATAGTGAAAAAATCAACAAAGGGCCATAATTCTGTAAAATTTGGTCGCAGCAAAAATTCCTTCCTTTACTACCATCTACACCTGAAGGTTGTTCATCCCTGTAAGTTTAAGCAAAATCTGCCATCCGGTTTAAGAGGAGTTGCGTTCACAATATTTCTACATAGTATATAGTGAAAAAATCAACAAAGGGCCATAATTCTGTTAAATTTGGTCGCAGCAAAAATTCCTTCCTTTACTACCATCTACACATTAAGGTTGTTTATCCCTGTAAGTTTAAGCAAACTCTGCCATCCGGTTTAAGAGGAGTTGCGTTCACAATATTTCTACATAGTATATAGTGAAAAAATCAACAAAGGGCCATAATTCTGTTAAATTTGGTCGCAGCAAAAATTCTTTCCTTTACAACCATCTACACATTAAGGTTGTTCATCCCTGTAAGTTTAAGCAAAATCTGCCATCCGGTTTAAGAGGAGTTGCGTTCACAAAATTTCTACATAGTATCTAGTGAAAAAATCAACAAAGGGCCATAATTCTGTTAAATTTGGCCGCAGCAAAAAATTCCTTCCTTTACTACCATCTACACATTAAGGTTGTTCCATCCCGTAAGTTTAAGCAAAATCTGCCATCCGGTTTTAAGAGGAGTTGCGTTCACAAGATTTCGGGACGTATGGACGGACGGACTGACGGACAAGTGCAATGCTATATGCTCCCACATTGTGGGGGCATAAAAATAAAGTAAAAACTCCATTTTAAACTGAATCTACGTATCTTATGTCGAAAAAAATCATAAAAACGACTGACATATCATCTTACACTATCAAAGACTTTCCTATGTAAAACCAAAGACAAACTGTTTGTAAAAATTTAGAGTAGCCTACAGTCTAAAATGTTTCCTTTCCCTCTACCCTATTATGTGTTAGAATAGAAATACATGTACATTTTTATTCATAAATGTGCTGAAGTATAAGACTGCAAGGTATGTTGTTAAGATGTTCAGGTATACGACCTTCGTTGATCTTAATACTGTGCATCTCCAATATTATTACAGCAAAACACACTCAAAATTTAACCCTTAAAGTGCTGGAACCAAAAGCATTAAGCCTTTGCCACCAGTAATATTAGCCAGGCCAGCCTGCACATCCGTGCAGCCTGACCAGGCTCTATACTGTTGGCTGACAAAAAATTCAAATTGATATGATATCCCTAAATTTGAAAATAGACAATCCCAAACAAATGAGGTCGCTCACCTGTATATAGGCCCCCCAACCCCCCCCCCCCCCAACGTTGCAGGGCCAATTTAACCCAAGGGCTTTTATTTGCACAAACTTGGTAGACACCCATAAGAAGATGTTTCATGCTAAACATCTAAGCTCTAGCTCATTGGGCTTTTTAAAAGAAGATTTTTTTTAAGTTTTTACTAAACACATATAGTTAAAAACAATGACACCCATGGGGCCGGGCCAGTTTTGACCCCAGGGCTTTTATTTGAACAAACTTTGTAGACACTTACTAGAAGATGTTTCATGCTTAATATCTAAACTCTAGCTATTTGGGTTTTTCAGGGTTCCCTCTGGGTCAAAATTAGTTTGCGCCACCAAATTCGCCAATCAGAAAAAGTTGAAGCCAATGGCTCCAAAGTTGGAGCCAAATAATTCTGCAAGGGAGACATGCCTATCTTTGCTAAGATTTGCTAGCAGTTATATATCATTATGATTACAAACACATATTTATAATATTTCATTTTATTACAGCTGCACATGTTTATTATCTAAAATATAGACATATTATTATGTGGTTTTCAAATTCCATTTAAATAAATACACATGCATAAATGTAATCAAAAACATCATGTTAAGTTAGTCATGGGAGGTCCTATTTTCCACTGTTTTGCCAGTATAGCAGTTCTTCTCACAGGCTGGACTGAGCCAAGATCTTTCCCAGCTTCTACCCGACAATCTGGTGACCTACAGATACAAAATAAAAAAAAAACAACATTACTAACAAGAACTGTCGGAGGACAGTAACGCTCGACTATTCGAAAATTTGTCACAAGGGTGTTTCATTGAGTATAATAATGCTTACCTATATGAATACATAAAATTGTCCGAAAAGATACAAACTCTTCAAGTTTCAATACATTCCCTTCAGTAGTTATGGAGATACAAGCTTACATGCAAAAACTTAACCAAGAATTCATGAGTCGAAAATGGGGCATAATTATGTAAAAAAGCAAATCAGAGTTATGGGACTTGTGCCAATCATCTTAGATAATCACAGAGAACAAGTGTGTGAAGTTTCAATCCATTCCCTTCAGTAGTTATGGAGATACCAGCTTACATACAAAAACTTAACCAAGAATTTCTAAGTCGAAAAAGGGGCATAATAATGTAAAAAAGCAAATCAGAGTTATGGGACTTGTGCCAATTATCTTAGATAATCACAGAGAACAAGTGTGTGAAGTTTCAATCCATTCCCTTCAGTAGTTATGGAGATACCAGCTTACACGCAAAAACTTAACCAAGAATTTCTAAGTTAAAAAAAGGGGCATAATTATGTAAAAAAGCAAATCAGAGTTATGGGACTTGTGCCAATCATCTTAGATAATCACAGAGAACAAGTGTGTGAAGTTTCAATCCATTCCCTTCAGTAGTTATGGAGATACCAGCTTACATACAAAAACTTAACCAAGAATTTCTAAGTCGAAAAAGGGCATAATTATGAAAAAAAGCAAATCAGAGTTATGGGACTTGTGCCAATCATCTTAAATAATCACAGAGAACAAGTGTGTGAAGTTTCAATCCATTCCCTTCAGTAGTTATGGAGATACCAGCTTACATACAAAAACTTAACCAAGAATTTCTAAGTCGAAAAAGGGCATAATTATGAAAAAAAAGCAAATCAGAGTTATGGGACTTGTGCCAATCATCTTAGATAATCACAGAGAACAAGTGTGTGAAGTTTCAATCCATTCCCTTCAGTAGTTATGGAGATACCAGCTTACATACAAAAACTTAACCAAGAATTTCTAAGTCGAAAAAGGGGCATAATTATGAAAAAAAGCAAATCAGAGTTATGGGACTTGTGCCAATCATCTTAGATAATCACAGAGAACAAGTGTGTGAAGTTTCAATCCATTCCCTTCAGTAGTTATGGAGATACCAGCTTACATACAAAAACTTAACCACAGGGACGCCGACGCCGACAAATGGGTGACTGCATTAGCTCGATTATTCTGCGAATAGTCGAGCTAAAAATTGACTTCATCCAAAAATCAATGAGAACAAAAAATGAAATAAATACTAAGTATTTTTAACAATGAAAAATATTGTTTATTTTAATAGGGTTTGCATGTGAATAGACACTTCAGCACTTTACATTCAGATATGAAAATATTAACATTGCAGTAAACAGACTGGCTTTAGATCAATCATTAGTTTTTTATCTTGTTGTTTTTTGTTTGTTTTTTTCTTAGGGGGGGAAAGGGTTAAAATTATGTTGTTTTTTTATTTCTATGGACCCCATTGGAAATAAGCATTTAGCTTAATGGGCTATCCATAGGTGCATAGTACTTCTTATTTTATTTTTTATGACAAAAGTGTGCTCTTTTATGCAGTTTTATGATCTCATTTTATATACACATGTATATGATTTATATAATTATGTTATCTCTGTATGATTTTATATTTTGTATCATGTGCTATGTTCCTAAAATGTATAAATAAAAAAAAAAATAAATAAATTAGTGAAATTATTCTTTTAATTGTCATCCGATTTAATATTCAAACTGTAATTATTTTTAATCAGTTGACTTACCTAAAGTTCAATGTTTGTCAACATAACAGACGATCTTTCACTTCTCTGTTCGCTACTAACACCTGTTGACCACACATGTTATTATCAGTGCTCCAAGTCAGAGAATGAAAGACGTAAATTGTTCCAATTAACACATTGACACTTTCATCTTCACATGTTCCCGAAGTGTCACACAATTGATGACATAATTGATTATACGGTACCCGATTATACAGTTTGATAAACAAACTAATAGTGCGTGACCTTTCACATTTAGGTTGCTTATGTATTGACGCGGCCGCTTATGACATTTAAGTGTACTAGTTGTCGCATGCTTTTATCTTAGGTTGGCGCCAATTAAATTCGCCAATTAAAGATTTTATGCGCCAGAATTAATATTTTGTCGCATTTGGCGCCATTGGCGAGCGACAGCGGGAACCCTGGTTTTTTCAAAGAAGATTTTAAGTTTTTGCTATACACATATTAAGAAAATCAATGACCTCCGGGGGCGGGGCCAATTTTGACCCAAGGGCTTTTATTTGAACAAACTTTGTAGACACTCACTAAAAGATGTTTCATGCTTAATATCTTAACTCTAGCTATTTGGGTTTTTTCAAAGATGATTTTTTAAGTTTTTGCTATACACATATAAGGAAAATCAATGACCCCCGGGGCGGGGCCAATTTTGACCCCAGGGCTTTTATTTGAACAAACTTGGTAGACACCTATTAGAACATGTTTGATGCTAAATATCTTAGCCATAGCTCATTGAGTTCTTTAAAAGAAGATTTTTTAAGTTTTTACTATATGCATATAGGGAAAATCAATGACCCCCTGGGGCAGGGCCAATTTTGACCCAAGGGCTTTTATTTGAACAAACTTGGTAGACACTTATTAGAACATGTTTCATGCTAAATATCTTAGCTCTATCTCTTTTGGTTCTTTAAAAGAAGATTTTTTAAGTTTTTACTATATGCATATAGGGAAAATCAATGACCCCCTGGGGCAGGGCCAATTTTGACCCAAGGGCTTTTATTTGAACAAACTTGGTAGACACCCATTAGAACATGTTTCATGCTAAATATCTTAGCTCTAGCTCTTTGGGTTCTTTAAAGGAAGATTTTTTAAGTTTTTACTATATGCATATAGGGAAAATCAATGACCCCCCGGGGCGGGGCCAATTTTGACCCCAGGGCTTTTATTTGAACAAACTTGGTAGACACTCACTAGAAGATGTTTCATGCCAAATATCTAAGCTCTAGCTCTTATGGTTTTTTAAAAGAAGATATTTAAAGTTTTTTCTTTCGGTTGCCATGGCAACCAAAGTTCTGCATGGAATTAAATTCTTTGAACAATTTTTAAAGGTGACCACTAAAGGAACATTCCTGTGAAGTTTGGATGAAATTGGCTTAGTGGTTTATGAGGAGATGTCATTTAAAGTAAAAGTTTACGGACGGACGATGGAAGGACGGACGCCGGACGAAAAGCGATCACAAAAGCTCACCCTGTCACTTTGTGACAGGTGAGCTAAAAATGGAAGTGGGACAAGTCCATTTAAAATATTCAGCATGTTAAGGGATAAGATGTATTTTCTACAGCAAAACTATCTTCTGGCTGCAATTTATAATCAAGATTATAACTATAACAATGAAAATATGTTACCTGACCAGTGCCCATGTGAGAGAAGAACATGTGTTGTTAGTCTATGACCGAGGGCACTTCTCTTACGGACATCATGTGATGAAGGTATGGTCAATGCTACAGTTGTATCAGGATACTTTACCTAAATTTACAGTCAAAATGAGAACAGACAATTTGAGACAAATGAACTGTATTAAAATTCAGTTAAAAATGTATATATCACCATTTTCCTACAGGCTATAACAATGATCTTTCTATGGCACCAGTACTGGGCGGGTCAGCCCGACGTTCATGTTTGGAGCTCATTGCAGCTTTTAATTCAGCAGATTTAAATGTCAAACATGTACTAATTCATAAACATTCAATAAACTTATACAAAGGAGCTCCATTGAGGTTCAAAAGCCTTACGTATAAACTTTGCCTATAGATCGACTGGGGATATTAAGGTCAATGCCTCTAGATGAGCCAAACGATTTCAAAACAAGAGGGCCATGATGGCCCTGAGGTCGCTCACCTGTATATAGCCCCCCCCCCCGCCTTGGGCCAATTTTTACCCAAGGGCTTTTATTTGTTTATTTGAACAGACTTGGTAGACACCCATAAGAAGATGTTTCATGCTAAACATCTAAGTTCTAGCTCATTGGGTTTTTTAAAAGAATAATTTTTAAGTTTTTACTATACACATATAGTTAAAAACAATGACACCCCTGGGGCAGGGCCAGTTTTGACCCCCGGGCTTTTATTTGAACAAACTTTGTAGATATTTACTTAAAGATGTTTCATGCTTAATATCTAGACTCTAGCTATTTGGGTTTTTTCAAAGAAGATTTTTAAGTTTTTGCTATACATATATATAAGGAAAATCAATGACCCCCCGGGGCGGGGCCAGTTTTGACCCCAGGGCTTTTATTTGAACATACTTGGTAGACACCCATTAGAACATGTTTCATGCTAAATATCTTAGCTCTAGCTCTTTGAGTTCTTTAAAAGAAGATTTTTTAAGTTTTTACTATATGCATATAGGGAAAATCTGAATGACCCCCTGGGGCGGGGCCAATTTTTACCCCAGGGCTTTTATTTGAACAAACTTGGTAGACATTCACTAGAAGATGTTTCATGCCAAATATCTAAGCTCTAGCTCTTACGGTTCTTTAAAAGAAGATTTTTTTTAGTTTTTACTATATGCATATAGGGAAAATCAATGACCCCCCGGGGTGGGGCCAATTTTGACCCCAGGGCTTTTATTTGAACAAACTTGGTACACACTCACTAGAAGATGATTCATGCCAAATGTCTTAGCTCTAGCTCTTTGGGTTCTTTAAAAGAAGATTTTTTAAGTTTTTACTATATGCATATAGGGAAAATCTATGACCCCCTGGGGCAGGGCCAATTTTGACCCCAGGGCTTTAATTTGAACAAACTTGGTAGACACTCACTAGAAGATGTTTCATGCCAAATATCTTAGCTCTAGCTCTTTGGGTTCTTTAAAAGAAGATTTTTTAAGTATTTACTATATGCATATAGGGAAAATCAATGACCCCCCGGGGCGGGGCCAATTTTGACCCAAAGGCTTTTATTTGAACAAACTTGGTAGACACTCACTAGAAGATGTTTCATGCCAAATATCTCAGCTCTAGCTCTTATGGTTTTTTAAAAGAAGATATTTAAAGTTTTTTTCTTTCGGTTGCCATGGCAACCAGAGTTCTGCATGGAATTAAATTTTTTGAACAATTTTTAAAGGTGACCACCAAAGGAACATTCCTGTGAAGTTTGGATGAAATTGGCTTAGTGGTTTCTGAGGAGATGTCATTTAAAGTAAAAGTTTACGGACGGACGCCGGACGCCGGACGGACGCCGGACGAAAAGCGATCACAAAAGCTCACCCTGTCACTTTGTGACAGGTGAGCTAAAAATTAAACTTGAGAAAAATGTACTATGATTTTAAGAAAAGTAAAAAAGATGCAAGATTCAAGTAATAATTTATGACTGCTTATACAGTATTTCTCTGCTTATTTCTACCATGTGACTAACTCAGTAAGGGCTATTTTTGCATATTTTGATCTCTCTTTTGTAATTTATGTGAATTGTAAGTGCCTGTTTGCAATGTGTTAATTGCTTTCTTTACTCACTTCACAATTTTTCACTTGTTAATACAATTTTTTAATTTTAATGAAATTTAGCATGATGCTTTAAAATAGAAATATGCTTAAAATTAAATTGAAAATCAAGATTTTTTTTTTTGTGATTCTTAAGCTGACAATAATGTTTAAACACTTTTTCATTTGAGTGATTTTCCATAATTGAAAAATATTATTCTGGAAAAACTGAGTGACAGAATGAACAGAAATTTGCACATTCAGAGCTACATCAAATTGTGCACAACTTTATCAAACGCCGTCATGTAAAAAAAAATCTGTGGAGTTCCTTTAGGATTTGAAATGAAAATATTCTATTGTTATTGGTTAAAGGTAAAATCATAGCTCTTTATAAATTAATATATCAACAGTACAAGAAGTTATTGGAGGAAACAGATAATGTTGATCAAAGTGGAAATGTACTATACATGTATATGGCACATTGTCACCCTAGTGCAGAAATGGGTTATCTCCTATTAAATCATATAAGAAGTTAACCCATCACTGCACTAACAACATATACATTTAATAAATTTATATTATAAAGTACAGAAAAGTTCTTAGATACCAAATAAAGAAATCAAAAGCATAAGTGCTACATGTACTAAATAAAATTCTTTATATTTCAGGGCTTTTTTTCCTTCTATAAAAGGGGCCGATATAAGGCCCCTTCACAATTCAAAATTGCACTTTTTTTCACAAAGTGGCCGAAAAAAATTCACAATTTCAAAAGAAATTTCACAAAATATTGGGACTTTGTCTTTGAAATACATTGTTTACCCTCCAGTTAATCATGGTTTACGCCAATTTCAAGAACACAGAAATGGTTTTAATCAATTTAAATGGTTTAAGCACATGTTAAGCGGGTTAAAGTACCGACTTGAAGACATTTTCCGGTTTCATAATGTTGCTAAATGCCAAATAATATGTATTACTAATGCAATGTTTTTTTCACAATTTAATTACAAATCACGCTTTTTTCACAAAATGAACAGGTCCAGGCCCCTTCACAATTTTGACAAAAAATGCCCTGTAATTCACTCACCTGAACTCTGACATTTTCAATCCGGGACACATTTTCAATATCGGCAATTAATAAGACCGCTGCTGTAAGCCCTGCAGTAAATTTGATAGGATTATCCGACACTTTAGATGGCTCGTGAATAACAGCATATGCCTTCCTCACTTTATTCATTAACATGCAAGTGACTGGACGTACAAGTTTTAGGGCAGAATGAAGCACATTCTGTACATTTGATAGCTGGTTACTTTTTAGATTCACTAACTCCGAGATTAGGTAAGACGTGCAACTGTCTGTATGGGAATCCGTATATGTTAAAAACCTGAAAGAAAAGACAGGATAAATAAAACAAGAGGGCCATTGTGGTCTAAGATCGCTCACTTGAGATTGATTGCTAGAAAAGGTCAAACTAATGAAATAGAGAAGAAATTAGCTACAGGCAAAGGTCTGCACATTTAAGTTTGCCACAAGATTTAAATGTATTTTCTTATAAGTCTATATATACTAAGTGACTGCCAGGGTGGGGCCAATTTTGATTCTAGGGGCATGGTTTATGTAACATTTAAAGAGGACCATAAGGTGATGCTACAAGACAAATATCTTTGCTCTGGTAAATGTGATTTTGGAAAAATATAAATTTATGTCTTGTATATACAAATTAAGTACTGATAGAGATAATGTGTGGCTTAAGTCCCAAATATTGAGCTAGACTATAAACTGTAAGCTGACCTTTCTTTATATCAGAATCTTAAAACAACTAATTTTCTTGCTAGCTTCATTGAATGTCATATTCAAGAAAGACAACTCTTTTCTATAAAAGGTTTTGAGAAAACTAAAAAAAAGTAAACATACTTTTGTAAACCACAAAGGTAGTTTGTATACACATCCTGCGCTTTCATCTGGGTAGCCAGCTCTTGTGAGTTGGCCAAAGTTGACCCTAATCTAAAGGTCAAGGCCTTCAGTTCCGTCTGCTTTATTAGAGAGAGATCATTGTTTCCAAGTCCTAAAAAAAGCGTCTGCAGCCTATTGGTCAGATTTAAGACCTTGTCTACCAGAACATTTAGGTTGCTAACGGTAACACTTCCTGTTAGGATGTAGGCATGCTGGGACATCAACTGCAGGAAAAAAATTCTCTATGAGCTTCATATTAGCAGAATGATACAAACATATGGGTTATATTTAAGTATTCATTGTTAATACAAGAGCGATCAGTAATCACATGTGTCGCCTCATGATGGCCAATTTCATGTTGGGACAAAGTTTGTGACAGACGGACAGACAGTGCACAACTAGACTTGGTACGATCATTCCTGTAAAGTTTGGATAAAATTGCACCA